TACTACGATTAAAAGTACGAAAACAGGAAGGAATGAATAAAAATGACTATTGTATATTAATTAATTTACTCTCATCAAATAAAGAGTATAATTACTGTTTACTTATAACAATTCAGGTACCATCTGTTACGAGCCATCAAGTTTTTAGAAACTGTTCTCTTGATAGTTTCTATATATTTTATTCTATTATATTTTCTTGATATAACTTTGTTCTGAACATATGTTATTTTTTAAGTAAACTTAGATCTATTTATTCAACTTAATATCAATTGAATTATGGCAATTGATGTATTGATATGATACATCTATTTATTTTAGACAAGAGTTGAACTATATTAATTCAATATTATCTAATTTATATTATAAATGACGTAGATACTCAGAATTTACTTCTTACGAGTTTAAAAATATGTGCGGAAATACAATAGAAAAAATTCGGATATGCCGTTATCAAATTCAAACCGATTAGTATTTAAATGATTGAGACATTGATAAATCTAATTCACAAAGTGGGTAGCAATCATGGCACACAGTTATTCATACTCTTCCTATTTTTTGTAAGTATGATAATTTGAAAATATTTTCAATTAAATTTTATTTTAATATTTTAATAAAATTTTTTATTTGTGAAATTGTTTCTTATAGAGCTATCAATGCTGTTTTAATTTTCGTCATTCATGTTGAGGTTTTACAAGCCAAGAGTATCGTAAATGATGAACCAGTTTGTATGAGTGAAAATTGCAGACAAGAAGGTAAATTGACATATTTTTAATTTATCAATTTACACATTTCGATAAATTGACTTTTTTCTCATACCCACGTTCAAAGTTGAAGTTTCCTCCCTGTTTTGTAGTTGCAAACTGACGTATTCTATCCCACTTTGAAAGACAAAATACATCTGCGCATGCACAGGCGGATTTCATCTTTCTCTGTGAGTGAGAAAATTTCACTTTTCCAACCTCAAAGCAGACAATTAATTTTAAACGATGATATGATGAAAAATAGTATTTTTGTTATGGGAGGAAAGTAAGATATTCTTACCTGGGTGATTGTTGTCCTTGCCTTAGGCTCGAAATGGAATTTTACACCCAGGTTAGAAAATCATACTTTCTTCACTTGGTTGAAAATCTACTATATTAGAAACTAAATTTTGATAAATTTCATGATTAATTAATGTATTTCAGCTGATAGATTATTGAACAGTATGGATCTTAATAAAGATCCTTGTGATAGTTTCTATGAATATGCTTGTGGAAATTGGTTGGATGAAAAAGCAAGTGTAATAAATATTATGATACATAACATTGAATATCAATTAAAAGGTATTATTTTTAATTGATTTCCTTTATCAAACAAACAATTAAAAGAATAATCTGATAGTAATTAAAAAATAAATTTTTATTAATTATATCTTTAGAACTTTTGAACGATACACCATCACCGAAAAATTCCACTCTAGGCAAAGTACAACAGTTTTACAAATCTTGCCTTAATACAGGTATTTTTTGTATAAAATAATTATTATATTTTTTTTTATTATTCATTGATTAAAATTTTTTCTGCTCAGCTAATAATACGTTGAAAGACAAAATATCACAAATCCTTACAACAGTTGATGCAAAGGAAGGATGGCCACTGATGATGACAGAAGATGAATGGTTATCAAAAAATAAATCATGGCATGAAGTTGATATAGAATTTTTTGAAAAATTTTGGTTTCTCTCTTTATTCTACAATAACTGTTGAAATGACTTCTTTTCTGAATATTACTTTTATTTCGGTATATTATTATTCATTAATTTTTCGAATAAAATAACATAAACTATCACATTAATTCTTATGATTAAAATTATAGCTCAATCCTACTCGAGATCAGCTACTAGAGAAAATATTTAATAACAATTTTGTTGAAAATTTTGATGACTTTATAATGATACCTGAAATTAAAGAATACATATGGTTCATCGAGAGGATCATCAAAACATTTCAAGACATTCATAATGAGTTTTTGTCTGTGGACACGTTGAAGCAAGATGTTAAAGACATCCTCAAGCTGGAATGGAATTTAGAAATGGTAAGTCTTAGTAGGAATGAAGTATAAAAAAAGTCGAGGCCATGGTGTTAGATTTCGAAGTAGCTCGCTAGCTAGACTCGTCTTCAAGCTACCGTGAAAGGTATGTTGCCTGAAGGTTGATAAGAAGTGCTGCTAGTTCAGCCTCACATGAAGCTTGCTTGTTTGCTAGTTGTTCTGCTAGTTTGACAATGCGCACTATGTGCAGATGGATGACTGACTGTTACATAATAATATTTAGTTCTGCATGAAAAATAGCCTCGGTCTTATCATCAGAATATTGCAATCTAGCAAGCATCAAAGCCATCAATGATGTTGCAATCTGGTAGCATAGCTTGCAAGACTGGTTTTAAGAGAAAGCGAGCTAGCTTGAAATCTAGCCAGGACTTCAATACAAAGTAATACTGGCTGATGTTTTTAACAATATCTAGATCAAAAGAAAAACAATTAATAAACCAAAACTTAATAATTCTACACAATGGCGCTTTATGAGTATTGATGAGTTCCAAAGTGATTTTAATTCAACAAGTATTGAGACTTTGGATGGAAGGGTAATATGCTATTTCAAATACATGAATTAATGATGGTATAGTATGCATCTAAGAGATTAAGTGAGGTATTATTGACTTTTCAGATTGATTTGCCGAGTATGATTGAGCAATATTTAGATGTCTTTTCACTAATTAATACATCTGGATTGAAAACTTTAAAGATTCCAGTCGATTACCTTACCGAGATAACTAAGTTATTCAATCAAACACCTCATAAAGTCATTGGTAAATACATCTGATAACTTTTTTTTTATTAAATAATATCATTGATTATTATAAATAATTATCATTTGTAATTATGTTGCAGTAAATACAATCTGTATTAAATTCGTAAAAACAATATCCCAGGGAGTAATATGGAAAATAAATATAGAAAGATCTCCTCTAAATGTAACAATTGAGGAACAACACTGTATAGAACGTACTACATCATATTTTCCACATTTAATCAATCATTTTTATATAAAAAAATATTCTTCAGATACAGTTATCAATAAAGTAAAATTTTAATTAATTACTTTTTTAAATGAAATTCCAGAAATAATGTTTTAGATTTCATTAAACGCAATTTTATAAAGTTAAATATCAATTATGATACTTCTAGATAAAGAGAAATTAAGGAATGGAGTGTTTTCACTACCGTTAAACTACTTATCACTGGCTTGGTAATAAAAAAAATTACGTAAGTGAGGAGAGTTAAAGATTACTTCTAGCGAAATTCCGGCTGGGACACGGAATAATGGATTTTTAACCAAGGGAGAAAAGTCGAATATTCCCACCCGGGTGTAAAATTGCATCCCAAGCCGGAGGCGAGGGTGGCAAACACCCAGGTAAGAATTACTTATTTTCCTCCCATGGCAAAAATATCGTTTAAAATTAATTTCTGCTTTGAGGTTGGAAAAATGCAATTTTCTCACTCACCGAGAAAGATGAAATCTGTCTGCGCATGCGCACAGACGATAAAAAAATAACCTTGGGTATTTTTATACATCATTATGTCTAGATAAAGATTTAATTATATCTAGAAGTTTAATAATTGAGATTTAATTTTATGTAATTGAATCTAAAACGTTTTTCCCTCGCATATAATTCAATCTTTTAATAAAATGTTTTTGTACAGACTAAAGAATTGGTATCAAATATAAGATATGGAATGGAAATCATTATCAATCGTACTTCATTTACTGATCAGCGAAAAAAATTATGGCTCGCTATAGCAGATTACATTCCAATTAATGTCGGGTATCCTATTTTGTACCTGAATGAAACCTTTTTCGATAATGATTATAAAGATTTCAAAATGGGTGAATCTTATTTTAATAATGTTGGAACTGTAAATAAATTTAATTTTATTCAAAATTTACAAACACATAAAGATCATGTTGACCGTAAAAGAATGTAAGTATAAAGTAAAATTATTAAATTAATACTTTTATACTGATCTTACATTAACCTATAAATTATTTTACAGTTGGCCTGGTCCTCTTCCAATAGAGGTTAATGCATTTTACAGCAGTGTTTATCAAGAAATATGTGAGTATTGACATTTTGTTATAAATAAAATCAAACTGAGCACAATTTTTACCGTGATGACAACAAACTTTCAATTTATTAAAATTCGTAATTAAAAATATTATAAACAATATAAAATTGTTAAACTCTTTTTACATCTCTTCTATTGTATTATCTTTCAAATGAAATTAGTCTCGAGTCGATATCTTCAGTAGTTCTCGAGATATCGAAAAAAAAACCGTATGTACGTGCGTTTGTACGTACGTACATATATTTTCAAACCTTCTAATATGCTTTTAAATGTCTTAAAATGTAAAGATATCACTTCAAATCCGAAAAAATTCAAGTGTTTAGTGATAAATCACTTAAAGTGTTTAATTTCTAATCACTTGGGTTTGCAGTGATGGTAAAATTATGAATTTCAAAAACTAATCGAATTAATAACCTCCCAATGGGAAATTATAAATAATTAGAAGTTCATTAATAAAATAAATTGTAGTCATTTCCGCACGGTAAAAAATATATTCAAAATATATAGAATTTATTGAAAATATGTAAATAGTACATTTCACACCTAGGGAGGAAAAGTAGACTAGCCTAAAACACGTGTAAAATTATAACCAGAGCCGGAGGTCGGTAAACACGTGGTTTAAGATAGTCTACTTTTCCACCCTAGGTATGAAATGTACTATTTTCCGTACGGGTTGGTAATGTAAAATTATTTTTCAGTTGTGAATTATGCTCAACTACAGAAACCATTATTTGGTATTGAACAGCCCAAGTAAGTAAATTTATATACAATATTTTAAATAAGTTTAAATTGTTCATTATACTAATTTGATATTAATTTATGATTAGTTTTTTTAATTATGGAGGTGACGGTTATGTAATTGAACACGAACTCGGTCACAGTCTTTACTTCTTCAATGATTTCTTCTTTTCAACAAATGGATCTTCAAAAGCTGACAACGACACTAAGCTTCTAGATGAAAATATAGAATGTTTGATCAAAAGATATTCTAACTATTCTATATCTTCAGGAAATATAACTTTGAAAGTAAGTCTAATTAAATGCCAACTGTTTAATTAGTAATGAACAAAAAATAACTGAAATAATTGTGATGATTGTAGGTAGACCCTTATAAAACATTGAAGGAGAATTTTGCTGATGTTATCGGTATTCAAGCAAGTTATGCAGCATTCCAAGCTCATAAAGAGAATCACATTGCATCAAGAATAAGATTACCAGGTCTTGAACATCTTAACAGTGATCAGCTTTTCTTCCTTGCTTATGCTTCTGTAAGAATGACATTTTTTTCCTTCAATCTGCCTTTTTTTTTTATAGCTAAAGTTTTTAAATGTTATTTATATTAATCTTTCAGAATGAATGTGTATCTAAAGATGTTAAGCGATTAGCTTTTAATTTGAAAGATGTTCATACTCCATCAAGATTTAGAGTAGATGGTACTCTTTCAAGCAGCAGCATTTTTGCAGAGGCTTTCCAATGTCCTGAAGGAAGTAGAATGAATCCTGTGGAGAAATGTGAATTATTTAGTAAATAATTACTAATTCTAAAATGGACAATCACGAGACATTGAAGATTCAATTCTCTGGAAAACATTATCAGATTGCTGCACTATGTTCACCATAGGGATCCATTCTTCCTTACCAACTCTCTTGCTCTTAATCAATCGATGCATTTCGATGTTCCACCATTGCTACCTAATTGGGAAAATTTATCACTGAAGAAGGTACCACTCTTCAGTGAATTCTCCAGAGTAATTATTCGTGAACTTAGCACAGATAATTCAGGGTATTAATTCTTAATTAGTTTAACAGACAATTCATCAGAGATTTTATGTATTTATAATCTTGTTGACTTTTTTTATATTTTACAACTAAGTTAATTTTTAATAAATCTTTTGAATTATAATAATTAACAGCTCTCATAATTATTATACAACTCAGACTTCTTCTATATATTTATTAAAAGTATTAAGTTAATTATTTATAAATAAAGTTTGAGTGTGAAAAGAGTGGCAATTGTCATAAATGAATGATATTTTTAAACTTTTTATTTATTAAAAAACTAATTCATTCTATTTTTTAACGATTAATTAAACACTATAGTCATTTATTTGTATCTAATAAATATAAAAACTCATCATTCTAGCACATTGTACACTGTATAAGATAATTTGATGACCTAACAGTAGATAAAAGTGTTTTAATATCATTTAAAAAAAAATCTCTTTATATTTAAAACTTACTTTGGTGAATGATTCCAGTGATAGAGTCAAGAAGAAACCACTAGTGAATATAATTGGTCTCATTGATTTAGCTAAAATGATTACCATACATTTTTGCCCACTGTTACTAAGACTGAACCAATTGGTAGTTCCTATTTCTTCGCTCATATCTGAAAACTGGAAGTTTCCAATGAAAAACCAGTTGTTGGTGAATGATCTAGATGATGATACTCACCTCTACAGTCATCCGATTAGCATTTACGCATTGGAAAAAAATTTGAAAGTTCATTGCTAGAAAATAACTAAGGTTTCCCAAGAATGCCATGGACTTGACTGAACTGTGAGACAATAAATAGGCAATGGTGCAAAGCTGGAATGCGCTACCAAAATATTGGACGAATATAACGTTGGTGAATACGGAGTTTATGAATTCTACCAAGCTGTACAAATAAGATACCCAATTGAATCATTCTTAGGGAATGATATGGTCAACCCATTGAGCTACATGTTGATGGAGCTGATGGATATCATTTGAATTGAAATTTACTTACCTTAGGATTTCAATATGATACTCAACCCAATCACCAATAAGCTTCCTTTCAGTATCCAGTTTAAAGAAACCATCATCATCAGCAATCTTCTCTACTTTCTTCAAGATGGTATTGAACCGATGTTTGAGAACATTCACATGAGCACAGATGTAACATAACATGCACGGCAGCAAGGGATCGAAAGAGAGATTAGTTGTTGCAGCATTGCAGATAGCATAAAGCTGGTTACAAGCTGTGAGCCAATAAATGCTTCTGGTGGAATAGTTGTAGGGAAACCAACCAACGTAAGGTAAAACATTAGGTGGATCCATGATGGCAATGTGGGCAATTGAGTACCAGGTTATTGCGACGATGAAGACCATTGGATAGTACTTGAAAATATACCTGAAACAATTAAGTTTATATTATTGTTCTGTCTTTTACAGAATCCAGCTTATTTGTCTAAGGCTAGTTGACATGATCATCATTTAATTCGATGCTGAAAAGGGAACAGTGAATGATGGCCTTATCTCCAGCTTGGTTGACAACAGCCAGCTTAGTACGATCTTGGTTGGCCATTCATTCTTATTCTAAATTCAGGTTAATTTATTGAGTCCTGATAAGGAACCTAGACATGCCTGATCAGTGTCTGGGCATGCCTCTGAAATAATTGCAACTCAAGTAGATAACTTTCAGCTAAGTGGGATCCCCATTATTTAAACCTAGAAATAGCTCAGCTTTGATGCTGAAGAGCTTCACAACACCACAGAAAATAATGAAAAAACTTGAATTGATCAACATACCTCGTCATTTGTACATAACGTTCATAAATCATCTGTTCTTCATGATCTTCAGGTTTCAAAAGCCTCTTCTCAAGACGCTCTTCAATTTTAATAAGTGAACTACGACTGAAGATCAAGCACCCGATCTTCATACCTCCTGTAACTAAACTGAGCAATAGAGAAACATTGTCAATAAATGAATGCAATTCGAAAGCAGTCGTCATAATTGCCATAAACCCAGATGCTAAGAATAATAACAATGTAAAAAGCACTATCAAGTGATATATTAAATAACATATTGATTTCCATCCTTCAAAGTGTACTGGTTTCCAAAGACCAACTAGACTAAGGAAGAAAAAATTCCTTTCAAGAATTGTCATCTGATATTACAGTCAGTTTGATAACTGAATATTTATTAAAGACAGTCGTCAAAGTGTCTAGAGTTTGGTCTTGCTTTCTTCGTGATAACTCTTTGGCAATTAAATGACATTAACTTAATTGCCACCATCATGGACAATTATCTGTATTTCTTGGGAAGTAAGAAAATACATGGGAGTTTGTCGCGTAGAATTAATTTGTTATTGATGAGGAAAGTATGTCTTCCTATACCTGCAATCAATATTCGAGCGAGGAGGACTTCAGTTCTTATCGCACTTCTGAAGAGTTAACATCATTGACGTTAAAACAAGTTCTAGAGTTGGATAATTTTTAATATCAATTAAAATTGGATTCATTTGTCATTTAATTCATAAATAGCAACAAATCATGTGCGTATTAACAATTTATTTTTAATTCTCTCTAGTTATTAATCTTCTACTTATCACTAATTACTACTCCAGTACATTATAAACAGTGTAGGATAATTTGATGACCTAAAAAAAATGTTATTAGTAATTTTTTCTTAGGGAAAAAAATATGCTGATATTAAATACCCTGGTAAATGACTCTAAGGTCAGTGATAAAAAGAATCCACTGGTGAAAACGATAGGTCGCAATGTCGTTGATAATATAATTACTGTAGATTTTCGTCCGCTGTTGCTAAGAATGAACCAGTTGGTGGTACCAATTTCTTCCCTCAGGTCTACAAACTGATAACCCACAAATCATCAAGATGATCAATGATTATTCATTACCATACCAAGTTTGATATGAATCTTGAAATGCTTACCTCTGAAGTCATTCGATTAGCAGACACACATTGAAAGAATATCTGAAAATTCATAGCAACAAAGTAGCTAAGATTCCCTAGGAATGTCATGGACTTCACGCTGTCATGTGACATAAGATAAGCTATGGTGCAGAGCATAAATGCGCTACCAAAGTATTGGATGAATATGACGACAGCAAAGATGGAGTTGATATCCTTCACCAAGCTGTAATGAAGAAAAAGAGTTATTGGTTATCACCAAGTCATTCCTTATTTAGCAAGGAATTTTTAATCATTCCTACTTCAATATTTCTATATGATAATCAACCCAATCACCAATCAACTTCTTCTCTGTTTCTAGTTTCTTCAGAGAGTCATTGTGATCCATCATCTCTAGCTTTTTTAAAATCACATGAAACCGATGCTTGAGTATGTCAATATGAGCGCAGATGTAGCAGAGCATACAAGGTAGCAGTGGATCGAATGAAAGATGAGCTGCTGCAGCATTGAGGATGGTACAGAGTTGGAATATAGCTGTTGGCCAGAAGACAACAGAGCTGGAGTAGTCGTAGGGGAACCAGCCTAGATATGGTAAAGTCTCTTGGGGACGAATTGAAGTGACATGAGCTAAAGAATACCAAGTCACTGCTATCACAAAGAGCATTGGATAGTAGATGAAGATATTCCTGTGGATTCAAAAAAGAAGTGTGAATTCCAAGTAAAAAGGAAGAAGGAACAGCAGCAAACATCTTACAGGGAAACACTCAGAGGTGTCTGCTACCAAGTCAGTTGCAGCTTTAATAGATTAATCTACATCAAAGATGATGAGTCTTTTACATTGGAAAAATACTCTGAAGGAGCAAAAGAAACTTTCAAAATTGATACTACATGAGAATAGTTTCCAGTTATCACATATTTGTAATTAAACTATTCCAGAAAATAAAGTCAATTTACACAGATCTAGTCAAATCTATTTTTTATCACAAATCTATTTCATTCTGCATCATCTGCTTTGATTTCCGTAGATCTTCTAGGGACTTTATAGACGCAATTTCTTTGTACCATTGATGAAGATCTCCATGCATAAACAGTGATGTATAGTAATCTAGATCTGATGTAGATCAGTGTAAATCTATCTTCCTGGGAAAAGGATGGAATAGATTTACAGAAATCGACGTTTTTTAAAATCTATTCGGATGTACTTGAATTTAAACAACCAATTTGTAACCAAGATCTAGCTAGACCAAACCAGATCAATGCTGGACCAAATAGATCTGAGCAGATCTGTATAGATCTATTTTAGTTACTGACTGGTTATTTTGCTTGAGTACCCAAGAAATCAAATCTGAACAGATCTAATTAGATCTATCAAGACTTGGTTTGATCTAATTATGAAATTTGCTTAAAGCTGGTGAGGTCTAACTTGATCTGTTCAGATCAGACTATTTTTTCTTGGTAAAAACAAGTATTTAACAGTTTGAATATCGAAATATTGCTGTTCCATCACTATGTTGTGTAATAATAATGAAAAAACATGGATAAATACTTGGTAATCTGGACATAATGTTGATAAATCGTCTGCTCCTCATCATCTTCAGGCTTTAGAAGTCTCTGCTCTAGACGTCGTTCAATATCAATCACTACATCACTGTACCGAGTCAAGCAGTACACTTTGATAATAACTATAATGAAATTAACAATCAAGGAAATATTGTCAGTAAATGAATGCAGCTCGAAGGTCGACGTTAGAATGTCCATAAATGCTGATACAATGTATGTAGACATTTCAGTAACAATGAACAGATTATACAATCTGTAACAAACTGTCTTCCATCCTTCAAAGTGTACAGGTTTCCAAAGACCAACTAGACTAAGGAAAAAAAAATTCCTTTCAAGAATTGTCATCTGATATTACAGTCAGTTTGATAACTGAATATTTATTAAAGACAGTCGTCAAAGTGTCTAGAGTTTGGTCTTGCTTTCTTCGTGATAACTCTTTGGCAATTAAATGACATTAACTTAATTGCCACCATCATGGACAATTATCTGTATTTCTTGGGAAGTAAGAAAATACATGGGAGTTTGTCGCGTAGAATTAATTTGTTATTGATGAGGAAAGTATGTCTTCCTATACCTGCAATCAATATTCGAGCGAGGAAGACTTCAGTTCTTATCGCACTTCTGAAGAGTTAACTTCTCTAAACTAGTCGCACCTGACTTAGCTAGCTAGATGTTATTTTAATGAATATCACGTGAGTAGTGTTCGTAAGATTTAAAGTGGACTTTTGGAAGAATATTTAAAGATATTATTTTGAATTTTTTAGTAAGGAGTTATTGTGATGGGTCTGATTTTCTATATTTTGATATGTCTGAATGTTTAAAGGTCTCTAGAGTCAAGTGCCATGTTTTATTTAACATCAGATGATGATAATCTTATCGACTGTAGTCCCCTCTTTCTTGGTTTTCTTTTTTTTAATAAAAATATTGGATTTTTTATGAGACAATCAACATGATTACCATAATATTGGTGGGACTGTTGAAATTTTAATAGAATTTATCCAAAATAACTTTTGGAAGAATATTTGGTTGATATTGAATTTAGAAATTATTATTTGGAGTTTTATTTCGATTTTACGGCGAAAAAGGTTGAAATCATAATTTATGTTTGGATCATAAAATTATGAATGGCAATGGGAAGATCTTGATGAGACGATTCCAAAACACTGGCTGTTGACTTTGTTTTGTTGGAAAGAACATGAGATATTGGCGAAAATCTGTAGAACATAAAAATGTGCATAACTTCTATGCTATTGATGGTAGGGGGTTGATCGAGGGCTCATATGAAAGATCTGGACCTGAGTAAAAAATTTGATCCCCCCTATAGGATATCCCCGTCAAAAATGCCGTATCTCGCTTAGTTTTCGAGTTATGAGCGTTTAAAGGTTTTTCTATGATTTCGCGCAGCATAACTTTGTTTTCTGCTAATAACTCGGGATCTATGAGGCCTACATGAATAATAAGGATATCAATGGATTCGTGAGAATGTCAGCTTTTTATTGCACTAGTCAAAATTATGATTCGAGCATAATTTATGCTAAAATTGAAGAAAGTTCCGGTTTTACCCCATTTTAGGAGTGAAACAATTGATTTTTCAGAAGTTTGACCTGATTCCGTGATTCTCGGCATTGAGACGAAGAGAATGAGTGGTCGAACTTGAAAATCGGACAACTTAGATTTTTCGACCCCAAAAAATGGCAAGTGGCAAGTCAGAAGATGGATGATTTTTTACCCTTACTCTGACTTTAGACCTCAATAACTTTCGTACAAAGCTCCGAATAACGATTGTGAGGAGGTATTTGGAAAGTTCAGAATCTAAGCTAAACATTCATATCCATAAAAAACGTTTTAAATGATTTCTTCACCCTCAAAATTGCCAAAAGATTTGGCAAACTCCCAAAAAAATGTGACTTTTTTTTATATTTTAGCGATTTTAAGGGTGAAAGAAATTTTTTACACGTTTGTCGTGGATATGAATTTGTAGCTTAGATTCTAAACTTTCTAAAACGTCCCTAAAAACGATGATTGGACCGTCCGTTCATGAGTTATGAGGGTTTAAAGTCAAGGGGATGATGATTCGCAATTTGCATCCAGTTTTACCCCTTTTTAAGTGTGTTAAAGTGAATTTTCTTGGGCTGGGCCTCGATTCCGCATTTCTACGCATCAAGACGAAGAGAATGAGTGGTCAATCATCAAAATTGGAGTACTTTTATTTTTTGGCCGAAAAAAATGGAAAGGGGTACCACTTGCCATTTTTTGGGGTCGAAAAATCAAAGTTGTCCGATTTTCAAGTTCGACCACTCATTCTCTTCGTCTCAATGCCGAGAATCACGGAATCAGGTCAAACTTCTGAAAAATCAATTGTTTCACTCCTAAAATGGGGTAAAACCGGAACTTTCTTCAATTTTAGCATAAATTATGCTCGAATCATAATTTTGACTAGTGCAATAAAAAGCTGACATTCTCACGAATCCATTGATATCCTTATTATTCATGTAGGCCTCATAGATCCCGAGTTATTAGCAGAAAACAAAGTTATGCTGCGCGAAATCATAGAAAAACCTTTAAACGCTCATAACTCGAAAACTAAGCGAGATACGGCATTTTTGACGGGGATATCCTATAGGGGGGATCAAATTTTTTACTCAGGTCCAGATCTTTCATATGAGCCCTCGATCAACCCCCTACCATCAATAGCATAGAAGTTATGCACATTTTTATGTTCTACAGATTTTCGCCAATATCTCATGTTCTTTCCAACAAAACAAAGTCAACAGCCAGTGTTTTGGAATCGTCTCATCAAGATCTTCCCATTGCCATTCATAATTTTATGATCCAAACATAAATTATGATTTCAACCTTTTTCGCCGTAAAATCGAAATAAAACTCCAAATAATAATTTCTAAATTCAATATCAACCAAATATTCTTCCAAAAGTTAAATTCTCCAACTTTTTATTCTCTCTTCTTCTTTTTCCTTCAAATCTAATCAATCCTACTCCCCAAAATACTTGGCAAACTCTCTAAAAAAGTCTAATTATTTTTACATTACATCAGAAATTGGTCTCAGAGGGAATGTAATTTGTCCCCAGACTTTTCAAATTTGCTTTCCTTCATTCTTCAAAATACTTTCTAGAATATCATTCTTTATTAGCAATTTATAAATCCATCATGCAACACTTAGTCTAATAAAATTATCTAATTTTTTCTTCACTGTTGTAGCTTATAGACTGGAATTCATTCTAATAAATTATATATTGTGTACGATAGTTTGATGATCTGCAATTAAAAGTGATATATCATCAGATCTTTCCACCCTTACAATTCTCTTGGTTTCTCGTGCTTTCTCGTCCTCCTCAAGACACTCACCTTCATAAATGACTCCAGAGACAAAGACAAAAAGAATCCACAAGTGAAAACAACTGGCTTCATGGATTTCGCTAGGATGATCACGACGTATTTCTGAGCAGAGTAGCTCAAATTGAACCATTTTGCTGTTCCAATTTCAATGGCAATATCAGCAAACTGGAATGAAAATTAAAAAATCCTGCCTAGATCAATCATTCAAGATCCAGCCTAGATATTCATGAATGACATTACCTCAACAGTCATGCGATCAGCAGCTACACATTGGACATATATTTGAATATACATCACCAGGAGAAAGGTCAAGTTTCGAATGAAGTCCACGGAACCTATTGGAGTATGTGAAGTCAAGTAGGCAAGAGCACAAAGAATGAAAGAGCTAGAAGAATACTGGACCATGACAACTTTAGAAAATGTCACGTTTATCATATCAGCCCAACTGTTGATCAAAGAAGTCTATTAGTTACTTGAACCCTGATCATCATCAACCAACCAAGTTCTACTTCTTTACCTTAGAATATCGATGTGGTAATTCACCCACTCACTGATTAGCTTCTCTTCTATCTGCAGCTTATTGACCAGTGTGTCATTATTGTTGACATCAAAGTTTTCTAACTTTTTTAGCAAAGTATTGAACCGAAGCTTGAGTATCTTGATGTGTGCACAAATGTAGTAGAAGATGCAGGGTAGCAATGGATCAAAAGCCAGATTGGTCACAGCAGCATTACAGATAGCACAAAGCTGATAGACAGCGGTGATCGTGTAGACAGCTGGTCTTGAATAATTGTAAGGAAACCAACCTTGGCATGGTAACATGTCTGGTGATTCCATCACAGTAGTACGGGCAAATAGAAACCATACGAGAACCAGTAAGAATAGTCCAGAGTAACGTTGAGTCAGATTTCTGCAAAAAGGCTGAATTTTATTTCTAGAAAAGGATGGTGATGATAAGGCATTTAGTTCACATGAATGATCTAGGGTTAAGAAATGAATACTGATGATTGACTCATTTTATCCTACTTATCAATAACATTATCACTGTACCTACCTGGTGATACGACGATAATGCTGATAAATCATTTCTTCTTGATGATCATGAAGCTTAAGCAGCTTCTCTTCCAGACGCTTTTCAATGTCAATGATGAAATCACGAGAGTAAACCGAGCAATGAATTTTCACGAAAACTGTTGCGAAGGTCAGCATCAGAGAGAAAGTGTCAAATAATAGAAGGTCCATTTCAATCTTTGATGATGCGATATAAGTGATTCCTGATATCATGAATGTGATAATATCAAAGAGGAGGATCAGTGTGTATAGATGGTACAGGTTGGACGCCCATCGTGGCCAACTAGCAGGTCTCCAACAACCACAAACACCAAGCCAGAAATAATTTAGAGATAGAAGAGTCATTGTCTTTTGTCAGCTGGTGATGAATAATTTAGAATTGTTGGAGATCTAGAGCAGACTAAACATCAACTGATTTTGATGAAGATAAATTCTATATTAGTTAGCAGTCCTTCTTATCTGATAATTAAAAATACTAATAGAATTATGGATTAATAAAAATAATATTAGATTTTTTAAAAGTGTATCTCTGGTGAACAACTTTGTTCAAGATCAAGTCTTCAATGATTATCTGTTGTAATTAATATTAGAGAGGAGTTCATTGATCTACTGCGGCCTTAAATAGAATATCATTTTTCTTATCAAGATGCTGATAAATATAAAATTGGATTTAACATTCAGCAACTCAATTTTAACATTGGGGTACAGGGTTCAGATTAGGTGTCATCTCCGATCAGGCTGAACCTTGGGATGTTTGTTGACCTTGGTGGAACATGAAAAACCTTCAAAGCTTCTGGTGGGATCTTGAGTGATGCTCTAAGGGTCTTTGATGCTGAATGAAGCCTCAGGATGTACTTGTACATTTTTTAGGAATTGATATTTACCTCCAATGCAGGGTTGGTTTCTTTCTTTGGGCTCCAAAGGCCCAGCCTTCGCTCTACAAAGATCTAAGGGTGTGCCTCCAGTACATACACTACTTATTCTTATATCTAATGAAGGTAAACAGAATTTGGACTAATCCAGTGTTGTTACCTAATCGGAAATAAATTAATCGAATCCTAAAATGACATTGAATTCTAGCAATGGCTTACAAGCTGATTGGATCCAATAGCATCCAAATTCATCAGATCCAGTTGGATCTCAATGTGGTTCATATTAAATTGAATTTAATTGTGATTACTAGGTAGATCTGTTTTGGTTTGATAATGTTACCTGCACAGGAATAGACAACAGAACCATGGCTGGGCCAACATTGATCATCAAATGGTGTCATCATCCAGTTGTATCCTGACTGGGTGATAAGGTAGCCTTCTAATTGGATTTAATCAGATCTAATTTAGTCAAGACTTTAGTCCGAGCATGACTCCAGAAGAGCCAACTTCTTTAAAGGCATTTGTTTTTATTTTTATAGATCTGAATATCTGGCCTGACTAAACCTACAGTATACTACTTTGAAATACGAAGAGTAGTTTCTTGTAGATTATGGTCTAAAATAGTCATTTTTTAGAAATTAATTCAATGAATTGGAAACGCTATTTATAAGATTCATAACTTCAATGAAATGGTGGTGTGTTGATGAATATTAGCATGAAGTTATCAAGCACATCACTACATAGCGAAAAGAAACCTAATCAGTAACTATTGAATTAATTATGTTAAATTAATTGTTTTATTGATAAAAGGGTTCCTGCAAGGATATCACCACTTCACCTACCTAGAGATACGATGATCATGCTGATGATCAATTTCTTCTTGATGATCATGAAGCTCAAGTAGCTTTTCTTCACAGGAATAAATCGTGCAATGAATTTTCATGGAAACTATTGTGAAGCTCAGCATCAGAGACAAAGTGTCAAATAATTCTAGGTCCATAGAAGAGTCATTGTCTTTTGTCAGTTGGTAATGACTAATTTAGAATTGTTGGAGATCTAGAGTAGACTGAATGTCAACTGATTTTTTTTTCAAGAGAAATCCCCCTCTATGGAATCTGTTTCTGTATTAGTTGGCAATTATATTGTCTAGATAATTGCTGTCATCATGGGCAATTACCAGTGCGTCTGAAGAAGTAAGAAAATTGGATGGGGAAATTGTCATATAAGATTAATCATGTTATTGACATGTTGTTAGTGGTAACGACTTCCCCACTATGACTATATCTGCGATCGATGCCAGAGTCAAAAGACATCAGTTATTGTTAAGCTATCTTATCATTCACATCATTGGAGTAAAGTGAAAATTGTAGAGTTCTTCTGTGAAGATTTCTAGGAACTTTTCTGCAAATACCAAAAGTAATAAACATTTATCTCTGATTTATTTTTTATAGTAATAATTTTAATCTGATAATTAAGAATATTATAGATAAGTAAGAATAACATTACATTTTTTAAATGTCTAACTCTGATGAACAACTCTTTTGAAGATCAATTCTTCAATGATTATCTGTTGTAATCAATATGAGAGGCGATTAACTATGAATTCTAATAGGATATCATTCTTCTTGTAATAAAAATCTTGAATTTAGGAATATTCCTTCAGTCTCAGTTGGCGAAAATTCTCAGACTCGCCAAAGAAAACTTGTCAAAGAAGTCCTGGTTTACGGTAAGTCACCTAAAAGCCCTTGAGAAGAGTCAGGAGAGCTTTTATTCATGATAGTCAGGTCAGTCCAGGAAAGAACTTATTAGTAAAAGTCTCCATACATGGTGCTAGATCTAGGAGCTAACTCGCTTGCTAGATCTACTATTTAGTAAGCTATGTGAATGGTATCTTGGTTGGAGGTTGCTTATGATGATTGGCTATATCACGTGCTTAAGCCTTCAAACTAGTAAGCAGTTCTGGCTGGCAATTCAACAAAGCCATCAGTGATGTCACGATCCAACATCGTACCCATTCAAAGTTATCTTTAAGACTCTGAACAAGTGATTTATCTCAGAATCTAACACCACTTGCATGGGTCTTAAATGAGATAGAAGGAGCTGGGTATAATGATTAAAAGGATCATCTCGTCTAAAACAGGATGAATGGTTACATTAGTATACAGAGCTGCCTGCTTGTTTAAGAAGTTAAACAATCACAGAGCAGAGTTTTATCACGTGATATAACCAGTCATTCATCTGTACAAGGTGCTGATTGTTAAACTATCATAATTTTAATGAATTCATTAAATAAAGCGCTTTCCTTTTATCTAGACCTTTTGAATAAGCTCTTACAGGTCTTTATATCTTTATACTTAGCTAAACAAATCTACTTCAAATTTACCACCAATTTGTTTTACAATCAATTATTAATTTTCAGAAAGATTTCATTACAATTTCATTCTAATTTGAAATCTTTGAAATTTTTTTTAAAGAAAATATTAATCGATAGTATTTTAGTTGAAATCAAGAAAGAGATGTTTTATTCATAAAACAAAATTTTATTATTCTTAAATTATGATACACTGTACAGATTCTGAAATCTATAATTTTCTAATTGATGATGGAAAATGGCAGTAGTGCTCACAAGCAATATCGACTGAAAGATTGATGGCAGTTAAGTCGGCTAATCTGATTTAATATTAATATAATTTTGGCTAATATTTAACATAGATTTTCATTAATATACATATATATTTATTTATCATCATTCTATATTATTCAGAATAACGTCGATCATTTACTTCAATACACTACTTTTATATGCCACCATTGCCACTGATGTCTAGTTTTCATTTTCCCTCAAAATAAAATAATTTTATTTCTCTATAAATAATTAATAAATCTCTCTACAATAAATAGCAATTAATTTCATATTATTATTATTAATATTATTATTTCTTTTATTTTCTTTTAATAAGAATAATTTCATGCTCACATTTTTATTGATGAAATTTCACTATTTAATGTCAAATACTTAAGATTATTTTCCTTCTTTTGAATTAATGATACGTTAATTTATATAATAGAAAGCAGAAATAATTTATCCACATTTTATTTTTTACTTTAATAGTAAAGCATTTTCTCATTAATTAATTAATTAATCATATCATTACCACTTCTCAGACACACAATCACAATGACGGTTGCTATTTTTTTTTAGATCATATAGCAAAGCAAGATACATACAATGAAATGATTTTTTTTTTATACACAGTTGACAATTGGTATCAATATTTTTCTCCTCCCCTTTTGTAGATAAATAATTTATTAAAGCAAGTGTTGGAAGTTAGAGTAAAAATATTGATGTAAAATCAACTTGGTAATTAATATTAATTAATCATCATTTAGCACATTAAGATTCAATCTTGAAGATTAGTATTATTCGCTAAATTGAACAGTGTTAATAATGATTATTAAGCTCTCATTGATTAGTTAATAATTGTAATAATGTTGACAAGTCGTTTATTTATTTTATTAAAAATAATAAGCCATAGTTAAAATTAAAGTAAAAAGTGAGAATGAAAAATTTCTAAAAAAGATTAAAATAATTATATTATTAATCTTTTTTTTGTTTATTATTATATAATAAGATTCTTTAAGGTTTTAATTTTATATAATTACTATTTGGAAGCTATTTTGATAAAAAAGATCTGAACAAAGATTGAATAAATTAAATTAAGCCATTTTTGTTATAAATAAAAAAACTGCAAAAGTGAATCGTGAAAAATAGAAATTCTTGTGTATAATTAAGTGAATATTTTAATATCAAAGACACATGTAGATATTTATTGTTCTTTGTCTTTCGAAACAAATCAGTGATTAAATTGGCACTCATTCCGTTTAAGAGAGTAATTAACAATTGTAATTAACAATTCATGTCTTTTAAAAATCTCACATTATTTATGACTGTTTCAATTTGTTATAAACAATTTAAAATGTTATAATAAATTAAAAATAAGGTCTATAATCAATAATCTCATCAATCTGTAATAAAAATATAAATAAATTTTTAAATTGATGATTAATAATGACTTACAGTTCAATCGTTAATTAATAAATAAAAATTTTAACATTGATTTTTACACAAGTAAGAAATGTTTGATAAAAATTTTATAAATATTGTTAAAACTCGGAAGAAGACGATTTAAATAATATCTTATAAAAACATCCTTATTTATTTTGAGTATTTTTAATTAATTAATTAATTAACAGCCCTTAGTTTCACGTGTAGCACTGACTACTCTAGACTGCCTGGCTTTTTAATCATTCCTTATTTAATTTACTTAAAAAATTATACAAAATTATGCCATACACATTCTTCAATAACCGCATATTGTTTAAAATCATTTAAATTTATTATAAATAATGAGAAATAATTTCTATCTTATGCAAATAAATGTCAATAATGTTATTGGCACGTGAAATATTAGATACAATTTTTAATTAATCAACTAGAGCTTGATGATTAATTTAACAATCATTATTGAAACTTAATTTAAATAGAATTAAATAATAATTTAATTTATCAATATTTATTGAATCGGATTGACTGAACACTGAGAGCATTTCCAAATTGAAAATAATAAATATAAACTTCTAATAAGAATTGATTTAATTAATTCATTCATCGTGAATTAATATTACTATTTATTTCTGTAGATCAATTGTGTCAGTGTATTTTACACAAAATTAATTTAATCTTTAATAATAATTAATAAAATGTTAATTTTGATAGTACGCCAATTATTGATACTGTGTACATCCTTTTATACAAATATATATATTTATATAATTATTTTTATTACATTACATTGTTAATTAATCTCTCCTTTGCTATCCACGATTGAAAACCTCACCATAATAAGCGTAATATTTTGATTAATCTATAAATTATTACTAAATATTCTCTCATAACTTGAAATACTATAAACGAATAATTTATTATATAAATATAAAATGGTGTAATAATATTTGGTAAAATGAATTTGATTTTTATAAACAATTGAAACATTTAAATCGTAAACATCAATATTTTAATTACCTATATCCGGATATTAATACTTATTATAATTATTAAGTTAATTAAATTATAACAATAATATTAACAATAACAACTAATTAACACTAATAATTATAATTAACAAATTAAATAGTTTTTTTGTTTTTAAAGTTCTAAAATTTATTACTATTTTCAAACAATAATATAAATATATAGAATTATTAAAACTGTAGAATATATAATTGTACTATTCTTTTTTTTTTATAGTTTTCTTTTTATAACTCTCTTACTTACTCTGCAGTCAAATCATATTTTTAGTTTAAAATTTGTTGAATGTTATTTTTTGTATATTTATACGTTCGACCCAATTAAAAATGGTCCCTGTAAAGATTGATGATTCAAGAAATTCTTTTAATAGACATTATAGTCTAGTCAATTAAAGTCTGAAAATGTCATTCCTAGACCTTCTTTCGCTTTTTTACGACCTTTTAAAAAATCAATCTCAACCCTTAGCTTTTAAATGCCCTTTACGCCTAAACTATGAGAGATATGAATACATTGTATAGGACATTTTTGAAAGAAAATTAAATTTGTAACAACTTTTGTCGAATTAACTTAAGCCTGAAAATGTCATTTTAGACCTCTTTTTGGCCTTTTAAAATTTTTAATAAATTTATGTCAACGTTTAGCTTGTAAATGCCTTTAACGCCTTAACTATTAGAGATACGAACAAAATGTATTGAACATTTTTGAAAGAGAATTAAATTTTCTACAACTTTTGTTTGAACTTTTTTTTCATATTTTCTACCAGTTCGAAAATATACGCAAAAAAGTAGCTCTTTCTTATTTTTCAAAGTAATCAATATCTTCAATTTTTTTTTAATTATTTTTAAAAATTTCTCACAATTTCTACGACGATTTAATTAATTTATTTATTTTGGCCTTAATAACAGTCTTAGATCCAATTTGACTAGACTATTACGGAATCAAGAGAGCACACATTTCTCTTAATAAAGAAAATGAATATTATTTTATTCTATTATTATCATCATCATCATTATCATAATAATTATTTTTATATAACGATATTACTAATTATTTAAGCAGCTAATCGACAATAATCTCGTTAATTTTCATTTTTTTTTTTCGGACGGAAAATATTACGCATTGTTACCACTTAATAGATCTGGTGTTCATGAATGTTGAATTTATTTTGGCAAATCTATTTATATATTATAATATAAGCAATTTTTTTTTTTAACTACGTTTAGATAATATTTAAGAAGCAATTAAAATTTTTCTAGCATTATATGATAATATTATTCATTTATATTACATCTAATTATTTATTTTTTATATATAATATTTATATATATATATATATATTTTTTTTTAATAATTATAACTAGATAATTTCTTTAGCCATTATTAATTTCAAAAATCGTTTAACTTTTAATTGTTTAATAAAGTAATAAATAAGTCTTGTGAAAAATACTTTGAACATAAGAACAAGAGATTATAAAGCTGAAGGCACAAGATGACTTTTTTATTGCGTGCTATTAATTAAATAATAATAATAATTATTTTCCTTTAAATAAATATCAATTCTCGAGGTATTAAAATATTTAATATTTTTTTTAAAATTAATAGAAATTATTATCACGCAACAGAAAAGTCACTATGTACGTAATTTAATTGAGGAGTATCTTTTAAAATAATTATTATTAATATATTTAAATGATTTATTTTTTATAATAAATTATAAATAAAATTTTAAAAATATCTCGTCAAAATAAATTCGAATGAGATCATTGTAAATAATTTATTTATAATTTTTATTACGATAAAACATAAAATAATATATAAAACTAAAGTAAAAAATGATAACAATTGATAACAATTTGCACTAAATAACATTTAATTAATTCAGTAGTTCTAATATCCTTCACTATTACTCCTGAGTCTAGAAAGCTGAATTTACCATGACATAATCGATATTTATAGTTATAATCTCTTACTATAAATATCCATAGAGAAGCCAACTATCTAAAAAAAAACTTTACAATAAATTTTTATTTTATTTAATAAAATATTCCTTTTTTTTTTTTAAATAAAAAAAAAATATATCACAGTAACAAAAAGGATAAAAATATAAGTAAAAATACTCCTCAATGAAATTAATTCATTAGAATAACATTTCTTTATACAAATAATTAATTCAAATTTAATTAGATAAATTAAATTTCTAGTAATGTTGCATGTTCGCTGATATGCTTTTGATAAATGTATACAGATTACTTATTTATTTATTTATATTGTTCAAGTGAAAAAGAAAAAAATATAATAATAATAATAATAAATTACTTGAATATTTTTTCTTTCAATTGACTGTTATGTACATACTATTTGTTCACTTTAATATATTATAATTAATTGTAAGATGATAATATAAAAATTTTTTTTATGACATAATTTGTTATGAATGATCATTCAATCTATAGAAAGTCTGAGTATCAGTCATATCAACAAGTTTAAATGAGAGAGAGATTTTTTTTTTTGTTTTTTTGTAATAAATAATAAATTATATACAAAGTAAATTAATAAAATAATTGTGGAAGTTGTTCATCTTCGAAGAAATCGGAAGAATCCTCGACGTTTATCTGACGGTGGTGCCATCAGCATTGGTACTTGATTTTTGTGAGTGATGTGGATCTATTAATTACAATTAAAATTATATTAATTCATTATTATTTATTATTTTTATTTAAAAAATATTATTTTACGTTTCAAATCAATTTTTAATTATTTTCAAAACCTTCTTTTAATCTTTTTACCTTCCCAAGTGTATATTATCTTGTGCAAAGCTCAAAATTAAACTAACATTTAAATTTAGGGAATTTTTTTTTTTACATTTTTTTTATAATAAAATTATTTATACTCAAACTTCCTCAAAATCACATAACACATAATAATAAAATAAATAAATAAATAAATGCTGTTATAAATAATATTAAATATAAATCTTAAATTAATCCTAAAATCAATCAAGTAGTATAGTCAGATTTTAGTCAGCCATGCAATAAAACATTAAAGAAAATCTTCTAAAATATTTTTTTCATAGTTTCACATCATATTTCTTCTAAATCCTATTACTAACATAATAAATTACCCTTAAACTTACCGTACATGGTCCTTGCATCCATGGTTCACCATCAATTTGCATTGGAAATCGTTTTTTAGTGGTAATTGTAACACTACTACATTGCGCTAATCTTCTACCACTCGCCCTAAGTCCAGTCTTGACTTGACCCATATGTAAACAATTTTCTAAGCCAATCACTTCGATAAGATTATCTCCAATATCTAAAATAAATGATGATATTAAATATTTATGACAAAAATATCATTTATAAAATAATATACTCAACATCATTAGAATAGTAATGGATAAAAAAATGGTTGGAAATAATTTAAAATACCTTGAATAGCAACAGTAAGATCCACTGAATTGAAACTGCTTGTGCTTAATTCTTTATCTGGACGTTTCTTTCGTTTTCTTAATCGATGTCTTGCATGTTCACCCCAGAGATTAGATCCTCCATGAGTAAAAGGAATGTTGAGTAATGCAACACCTTGAAGTGATGGTCCATGTGCTAAATCTAACGGTGTACCATCACAAATTATTTCTAAATCTTCATGTAAATTTTTACAACTTGCTGCAAATTGTTCTGTTGTTGCATATTCAAAGTACCAAAGTTTATTTTTCATTCTACTATTAAATTTTTCTGGATTCTTTTCTCTTTCCAGATGAAATTTGACACAAATAGCTGCATCAACACCAACAGAAAAATAATTATTAATGATGTTATAAGGAATGCTATCTTGATTGGGTTTTTTTTCTTCCTTCTGGTCAATTACTTCAATTTGCCACCGATCCATCATTACTGGAGTTGATTTCTCGATTTTCTTAAGTATTTTATGGATGGCTTCACCTTCATATCCACCACCCCAACGTAAACAACGAGCTAAATCGTTACCAGTTCCTAAAGGGATCACTCCAACAGCCGGTTGCTTTTCAAACTGAACACGATCCATTGTTTCTAAAACCCATCCTACTGTACCATCACCCCCACAACAAATTACCCGAAAATTTTCCACGTCCTTAAACATTTGTAGACCCTGCATTGGTCCACCAGTAGCTAGATTGTGTACTTGACGTGGATTCAAAATATATTGAAATTTCCTCAACATTCTCTCGCCTTGTCTACCACCGGATTTGGGATTTATGAAGACTAAGAGTGGTATGGAACCCGGAACTGGTGTAATTTGGAAAGACATTGCTGGCTGGTGGCTCACGATGTTACTAGAGTGTAGGAAGGCACCGGAACCGATAGAAGATGTATCCTGGCCATATTTACTACCACGTTTACTATCTCGGGATAATGACCTCTGTCTATCAAGCACTATTGGACAAATTGCCGTTGGTGGAAGAATGTGGATTGCGTAATCTCCAAGATTACATTCCGTTTTTATTTGAGACACACATTTGTTGTGTACCTAAAAAAATTTAGTTTCATCAATATTTATTTTTTTTTCAACTTTAAGATTTTTTTTCCTACGATAATTATTATTATCTAGAATTACAACTCCACTTCAATTTTAATGCTAAAAATTATTTATAACATTCAGATCAATTTCTAAAAATTATAATTTAAAATAAAATTTTTAATGATCTAGGAGAGACAATGAATACTACTGACCATTCAAAATTAATCCAACAAATTTATTCACAATTAATCATTATCATTCTTCAACACTTCATGAATCGAATGACTGTTTAACAATTTTTAGCACGAAAACTCTGGCTGGAGTTCTACATTTCTAGGTAATGATCGAATTTATCTAATTGAAGGCATGAGTGAATGAAGGTGTTATTAAAAACATCAACTGGACTATAATTATATTTATTACATAGCAGTTTGTTAAACTAAAAATACTTGTATTGCGAATTGGTCAGATCTTCAATTTAAAGCTCCCTCTTAAAACAGTAGATTTCGAGCTAGCTTGCTTGTTAGATTCATGGCTACTATGAATGATATGTTGCTTGAAAGTTGATAAGGAGTGTTGTGAGTTCAGCTTCACATCTTCACACATTTTCAGTTCTGCATAAAAAATAGAACTGATCTTATCATCAAAACATTGCAACCTAGCAAGCAGCAAAGCTATCAATAATATCACGATCCTGCAGCACAGTTTGTAAGGCTACCTTTTGAGACTCTAAGGAAGTGATCTAGCTTGAAATCTAGCACCATGTGCAGGAGTCTTTAGTTACATGACACCTTCATCCACTTATGTCTTCAATTAATCAATTCCAAGACCTTACCGTGATTTGACACCATCGACAATGGAGTCCAGTGATTCCATTATAACATTTAATTGTCTTTCTACACTTAGAACATTTCCCATGGCAATTTCCTTCAACCCAATGATGCACCATCGTCTGTGAAGTCTTTTTACTCTTCACATAAGTAGCAATGCATGAAGCTGGTGCTCTTTGAACACACCTTTCATGTACAGTATACTTACAAACTATAATTAAAAATATATCATCAATACTTTAGAGTTTAAAAAGTAAAATAAAATATTATCTATTGACTCACAAACACAACAAAGTCCCTTTTTCCCAAGACCAACCAGCATATTGAGACACAGATTACAGTAAGCTGGTTTGCTAAAATGCTTCAACCTCCACAGATGATTTCCGTCTTCTTTGACATTGGAATCAAGACCTAAAAGAACTAAAAGTGGAATAGTTGTAAGCCCTCCTCTTTTCCATTCTTCTAAAGAAACTGTTCCATCTGCATCATAGTCGATTTCAATCATCATGTCTTGAAGTATCTTAAAAGGTAAATAGATAAGTTTTTTTTCTTCTTCTTCTTCTTCTTCTTCATGACTTTTATTTCTTTCTACTTACTGGCTTTAGTTCTGAAACATCCCATCCAAGATACTCTGCGACATTCATCATCTGATTTACAATACAATCCATTTCCTAGATGAACAGTATTTTCATGATAATAAATAGATAATATTTATTTCAAAAGTAGACTTATTGAATATTGATAATACTCACGTTGGTGTCAAGGACTCCATTTCCATCAGTGTCATAAAGTCTGAACATAACTAAAAAAAAAAAAAATTTATTTTATTGATTTAAATGAGTTTTATTAAATGTTTCACTAAAGATAAATGTTCCAAGTCATAAAATAGTAAAAGAATAGGTGGTCTTGGTAAGAATGAAATAAAAAATAGCTATTGATAGAATATATTTCAACGAAACACTTTAATTTAAATAATAAAAAAATTATTACAAACAATTGGAACATTTATTTTATTTAAAACTCTGAAATGATTGATTGCTTACACTCTAATTTATCTTCTGGTCTTCCAGCTTCAAGTAATGAAAGATAACACACGATGTCTTTCAAACTAACTTTCACCGAATGCACGTCAATGGTACTTTGTTTTCGTCCAAGATGTCTCATTTCTGTAATAAAAAAAAAGAAAAACTGTTAGTTTCGAATGAAATAAACTTCATATACAATTCAATTTAATACGTGATTTAATCTATTTTCAGATATGATGAAAATTCTGATGAAATTCAACCCAATAACTGGAAAAATGGAAATTAATAATAACAATAGATTTTAAAATAATAATATTTTAATTATTAATAAACTTTTTATATAGTTTATGATTAATAATTAAAAATAATATTTAATCAAATTCTAAATTGAAAATTCTATTTAATAAAAACCAGTAAGTAAAAATATATTTTAATTTAATAATATACTTTTTAAAATCACTTTAAAGGTAGATATTATTTTTAAAAGCTATGAATTATTTATTAATATATAAAAACATTAATAAATTAAATATTAAAACATCTTTTTGAATTTTTTTTTTACAGCACTTAGAAAGCTGATAAATGAAATAAAAATTATTCTTCATTAAATAAAGTTTCTGAAAAATAATTAAACATTTTTTATTTTTATTACTGAAGATGTTTAGCTACTAACAAAAATTTAAAAATGATGTCTCATGCTCGTCCATGATTTATTAAACTCTTATTCTTCATTGAGCACAATGACAAGATGATTAAATAATTTCCAATGAATAAATTCCTACTGGAGCTCACCATATTTACACATGAGAGTTAAATACGAAGACTTAAGCAAACAGAGTCCAACTAAAATGACCTATAAAGTTCACTGAAGTTCATGAAAGTGTAGACTACAAACTTGATATATTATGCAATTAACGAAACAGAATTGAAATGAATTCAAACAAGTATCATTGTAAGTAACAAAGTACTAAAAGATAAACAGTCTTTCTTGTTGGTTATATGAAAGTAATAATGAACCACACTTGTTGCTTAGCAAAGTCCTACTGAGCGTCACTAACTTTAAGTTCATATAATTTTTACACTCGTCTGCATTAAATATAATCTCAGTACCAATGACGTCACGTGATGACATGCGTCCAAATCTATTTTTAAATGCTCACGACACGTGCGTTTGTCTGCTGATTCAAATGACTTAAAGTTTTTCAACGTTATAATTTAATGTACTATTTGAATTAAAAGTCATATTATTTTAATCTTAGTATGGTTGATTGATTGTGAGGTAAATAAAAATCAATTTTTGGAAAATTGACAGCCACCAGACAACCCTGAAAATTTGACAGCAGTTAAAATAACTATCAGACTGTTTACCTCTAACTGATAAATATTTTCAATATTTTGGTGCTGTCAAAAACTATTTGAATCACTTCCTGGTATTTCTTTAGACTTATAAATAATTTTAGAATACTTTGTAGATTTTCCAGAACTATTTTTACCATTGGGTAACTTTTTTTTTCCAATTTTTTTATCAGAAAACTATTTTCTTGATTTATTAACAATAATCGTTAATAAATAATTAGATTTATAGGATCATTGAATTTTTTTTTCTATTAATTAGCAACAATATTGGAGTCTATCACATTTAAATAATTAATTGATACTAAAAATTAATGACTGTAAAAGTAATAAATATTTTAATGACTGATGATATTAATTTTTTTAATTCATTTCAAGAGTTAAAAGTATTTAATGACTTTAAGACAATAGTTAGTTAATCAAAGATGTAATTTAAAGATGTATGAGCAGCAGACTATTGGGTGGGGATGAATATCAATAGTTGCGGGGTGAAGAAAATGATGTGATCACATGTTGTGGGCAACAGTTAATTATAGATAATATTGACAAATACATAATTGATTAAATAAATCGTAAATTTTCAATGACTAAAATATTGAAAAACTTTGTTGCTCAAATGCTACTAATTGCTATCAAATTCTAAAAACTTCACTGTCCAACAATTCTGAGTCTTTAAAATGATCAAAAATTTCTCAGACAATTTAAAAATCATCAACATTAATAAAAGTATTAAATGAAAAAGAATTTTCCGAATATCCAGGAAGTGAATTCTTTTTATTATAATCAAAATTTAGTTCCTGCACCTTCTAGTCTTCCGTTATTAACCAGCAGTGAATTGTTAGACTTCCTCGATGAATTTCGTGACATCTGACTATGACTGGGGCTGCTATCAGTGCTCTTTTTTTCCAAGACATCATGGCAGCTGTATGACGTATGGGCGACAGTCAGCATGGGATGAACACTGCCTGAAATAAATTATTTTATAAGACCATACTCTCTCAAAGTCTTTAGACAGAATTGATAAAATACCATAAGAAATTTCTTTATGATGATGATCCTGTTCAAAAATTTTTGATCATTGGAATCATCAACACCTAAAGTATATTTCTAAATCCAAAATAATCCTTAATACCTGTTCTATTACGAGCAGAAGCCTCACTATCAGTTCTATGATGACCTAAAGCTTGAATTTTTTCCGTAAGTCCATGAATTTTGTCAGCGAGTGATGAACTTCCATGGCTTTCAGTGGAAGCCCCAGGGAGTCCAGTGCTATTGACATTGGTGCTTGATGTTGTATGAGATGTTATTGCTGCACATGCTGTTGTTGAAGACATAACAGCCATTTCCTTTAGACAAATAAAATAATATGATAATAAAATAGATAAAGTTGTAGTTTTATACACTGTAAAAAATAATTCCTGATGGACAAACCAGATTCGTTTGGCTCAAGTACTCCGTACGTTTGAATACAGCCAAATGCGCGAACTACTTGAGTCTACTGCGCTGTACGTTTGACAATTTTGTTTATTCCAAATGAAAGTTTCTTGAGTGAAGAGACTGATTAGTTAGAGCCAAGTCTATAGTTCTTGACACAATCGAAAAGATAATTTAATGTAACAAAAATAAAAATTAGTTTGAAGCCATTAATGCTTTTGAGATAATAATAGGTCTTATTCTTTATAACTTCACTTAAGTTTCACTTAAATTGAATTTTAGGTGATTAAAAGTATGTATTTTCAGTGGACTGAAAATTTTATTAAATGAAGTAAATTTTAATGTTGAAAGAAATATTTACTTAATTAACAGAAACCATCTTCGCAATTATTATAAAACAAAAATCGATTTATCTCAGGTTGTTTTTAAGTATTCATGCAAAAAAAATAGTGAGCTAGATAAAATATTATATACAATTGGAATAAAACGAACAATCAGTTGACTAGAATGATGATTACTTTTACAGTACATCTCAGATCAATTCATGAAAACTATTTTTATGTTCATAGAACTGTTTTTTATGTTATATCAACAGCAAAAATAGTTTAATTTAATCGAAGATGTAATTCTATAAAAGTAAAATAATAGTTTTGTAAAAATGTTTTAAAATTGTACTCTAATCAACCTCAGATTTAGTACAATACAATTACTATTTAATATAAGTGTGAGGACTATTAAGTTCAATTTATTTATAATTTTGTTAAAATATGAAATTATACTTAATTCAGAAAATTTCATTCGGTTGGAAGAAGCTTATATTATTTTATTGAAAATTTATTGAAGGTTGATTATATGAAGTATAAATGAAAAAATTCATAAATGTATTATCTGTTTCATCTACTTTATATTTTAATCAGTTTGGTTTAATTGTTACAACTACAATTAACAAAAACTTTTTTTAATCTTATATCTAAAGAATACATATAAACTTACAAAAATTTTTAACTCAACAAATGATATAATTTTGTCCATTTGCGATTGCATATTCATCCCTCGGGATTGGATCAATTAAATCCCGGTGGCTCAAAAAACTCCACATTTCTGTGGTAATAATTCTGTTAGCATGATAATGTTTCTCAAACTAACATCTAACAATGAAATTAGGAACGTTACATTATCTTCATCTACTAAAATATACTTAATTTTACCAAATTTATTTACTTTATTAGTTTTTAAGATCATATTTTTCATATACTTAATACTATTGACCATAGCCCAAGAAGTAATAACAAACGTACCACTTAAATCAAAATTGGTGTTTGTATCATTAACCAAATAATGTTCATTTAAATCTGTTATTTTAGTTTCGATTGATGGACCGATAGAAATAACACATTTTTCAAAACCTTTTTGAGAAAGAAATCTTTCATTTAAAATAAACTGATTCATAAGTGCGAGACTATAACAGATATTTTTTCTATTTTTAATAACTTGAGCGTGATGATGAAAATCACGATGATTTGCTTCAAATCGCATGCAAGATAATGGTAATAAAGGACCTAGTAAGTGAAGAATACGAGCATAATGAAGCATAAAATGTAATTTAGGTTTTAGTAATGTGTCTTTATATAATTTTAAAAATAATTCATGATGATCGGTAATGAGTTGATTTAATGTTTCAATAATACAACCATCAATAGAGTTACTCAACAAAATACTAGCAATTTGTTTAAGTTTTAAAAATAACTGCCATGGTTCATTTTCACAAGGAATAAGATGACCAATCATGAAACTGAGTAAATTCAATAATGTTAACATTTCAGAAGCACTGCAAATGTAAAGACCATTCTTTAAATTATTTTCTGTGAATAGTGGAATGTTTTTATTTGAAACATTCCGTCCGTAATTAAAATTTTGCATCCGATTATTCAAGTATGATAATGATAATGATACATTTTTTTCACTAATTAAACTATTGATAATTGTAGGAATTTCGTATCTCAATACACCTTCTAAAAAGTCATGCATAATATCAGCATACAGATTTTTAGTTAAATGGAAATTTGGTAGCTCATGAAATAAGCATGATTTTTTAATACCACACGTTAGATCTTTTAAATCATCATTATAGTTTTTTACTGTTCGAAGAACTTTCGTATTTTCTACTGTTTGTTTTTGCATAATATTCTTTGGTTCTCGACAAAATCTGCAATAATAAGTAGAGTTAAAACTTTCATTGAAACCTAGTAAATAGTGAATCCCCAAATTATCGCCACAAACAATAGCTAATGTAAAATAAACTTGAACTGTACCATTTTCCGTTAGAATTTCAAGGCCCTCACTTTCTAAATATTTCAGTTCGTTAATTAAATTTTTAAATATTTCATTAATGTTCGAATTTCCAAATGAATCTTCTCGATGCATAGTTCGATGTATCAGAGCTAAAAATATATTTTCAATTTTTGATGAATATTCTGGGGGTAAAGAAGTTATTTTATAGTAGATTACACCAATTTTATCTACTGAAATATGAGAACCTAAAGGGTTGTTAATTTCTAGTTCGTCGAAGTAAATAGTTAAAGGGAAGACCTTTTTATTTACAAATTTCAATTTCAGTTCCCGCCAAAGGGTACCTTTTAAAAAACTATCAAGTTCACCCAAACTTTCGCTTTCTTTTTACACATATATTCATCAATAAATTTGTAAACATTTGGCAGCTCCAGAAATTTTTTTAATACTTGACGCATTGAAATAAATTCTCCCGTAGCATTACTTAAAACATGAATATTTTTTTCTCCTTGAATTTTTGCCTAAGAACAGTATCGATTGTAAAACGTTGTGGTTTAATGAAACATCCAGTACTTGAAAAAAATTCCTTTCTTTGATGTTCAGTTTGTAAATTTTTCAAAGGATTAGTCATAATAGTAAGGATTTCATCTACTTCAGAATCATAAACGTTTTTATTTTGGAGGACTTCTCTAACTAAATGAACACCACACGATTCAAATAATTCGGATGTGTTATTAACTATACCTTGTATTGCAGATCTTGATATATTGGGATTCGCATGTAATTTAGAAAGAAAACTAATCGCTGCACTATGAACTGAATTTTTTACATCATTAAGTGTGATCTTCTGAGATATATTTTGAGTAGTAGAATTTGATGAAGGTTGTATTATTGGAGATAATGGTATAGTATATATATTATTATCATTGCCACAAGCTACTGAATCTTTAAAATTACTAAAATTATCATTATTATTATCCTCTACAGGAATTTTATGTTTTAAACGAATATGTTTCTTTAAAGAATAATAATCACAATGTAATCGTAAACAGAATGGTTGTTTACATTTAACCGATCGATTAAAATATAAACTGTGTTTTAATTTACAGTGAACAAATAGGTCATTCATTATTTTAAAATGACAATCGCAATATGGACATATAATACCCATTTCTAAACTCATTTTTCATTCTAATACAACGAGAAGTAATTAAATTAATTTTTAATAAGCTCAAGAAGCTTACTGACATGAGTTATATTTTCATCAGTATCAGTTGTAAATTTCAAAATACCGTGCTGTAACAACGTCCAAATTTGTTTGCTTTGTAACGGAAATCCAACATTCCAGACATAAAATATTTTGAAACAAATTAAAAGTGCTGTTAAAGGTGAATCAAAACGATAAAGAGGTTTATCAAGTATCACCATGAAACTATTCACATCTTTTAAAGTATTTCCTATTCCGAGTATATATGGCTGGACAGTTGTTTTTTTTTTGCGCATCTGTGTTACTTTATCTTCATGAATTTTTTCAATATCTCCAACGTCCTTCAAAAAGAATAAAATATTATTTACAATGTGTATAAGACAAGTAACTTGGATAATTAAAAGTCTAATTGTTATATATTGAATTGTACGAAATATCATTTAATATTTAAAAATATAATATTTTTAAACATTTTAAATACAACATTGTAACTCCATATGAATGGAAAAAAAAATAATTTTAATTTACTTAAAAATTCTGTAAGACTGTAAAATAACAATATTCATAGAATACTACTTGAATATTGAATTCCTGATAATTTTTAATATATATTGTTAAACTTACTTTAGCATGCACTGCAAATCCTTGTTGGCTCTCTAATATTGTTGGTTTCCAATACTCTTTATCAACTTTAGATACACCAGCTCGTGGAGGAACGGCAAAAGGTAATAATAATATTTCAGCAAAACGTTTGGCATCTGTTATGTAACATTTCAATAAATCATCGTAGACATAAGGGAAGATAATAAAATAGTTATTTTCACTTACACAAATTAGTATTTTCATCATCAATTATATTTAACAGCTCTTGAACGTCGTCTGTATAACTTTTTTTCTTTCTAATAGTTTGATCAAACACTTTTGTGACGAAACATTCCCAATGCTCATAGAATTTTGATTCAGAGGTTGTATACAGCTCACAAAAATCAATATTTACTAAACGAAAACCATGGTTTGGATCTTTTAGCACTGGATACTTTTTTAGATAGTCGAAGACATTTCCATTTGATTTCATTAATATATCATTACGAGCTTTAGCTGTTATCTTCCAATGATGATCAATTAGTGTAAAATCACGATTATGATCCAACCATACCAAACTTTCAGCTACGTCTTCAGCTGAAACAATAGTAATGTTTTATTCCATCTAACATTTAGTATGTATATACATATATATACATACATATGTGCGTGTGAAACATGTTAGTAAAAAAAGTTTACCTAGTGGTTCAATTTCATCTTCATCTGTATTTTCTGATTGGTCTTTGCGTCTAACTGTACCTGTTAATTGGGCAAATAAAGATTTGCGATTTTTAATTTTATCATACAATCTGCCACCAGGTTTCTTAGATT